TCCCCCGTCAAATTTTGACAAGAGGCCGCTCCCAAGACTTAACCCGTGACCGAGGTCATACAACAACACCTTAACCGGTGCGTCCGTTCAGGGCTTAGTCTACATATTGTTAAATATTCAATATATTATTAGTATTGAAAAGTTAACATAGTATGTGGCCAAACAAAAACTGGATCACCTTTTCCCCCATTGTTAAAAACATTTTATTTATCAAGATATAGACTAAGCCTCTGAAGCTTGTCCCTCCAAAATTATCCATCCAAACAGATACTTAATGTTGATATTTGGCATTATTTTGGCTAATTCTTAGCCATGCCTTTGTTTTTTCAATTCAATCTTTTCTTGGCCAGTGCTTAGATCTCTATCTTCAGTTGAGCTCAGTAAACATGCTGTGGAACTGGAAAAGAGGTCAATACAGCTTGCATTTGAGGAAGGTAATCCAAACACTTATGTTTGCTTTTTATCACGTCCCTATTTTTTCCTGTTATTTCTACTTAGATCCTTAGCCGACCCCAAAATCTTTTGGGAATAAGGCTTGGATGTTGATGTATTCCCACTTAGATCCCTAGTGAAAAAAGTTAAAACCACATTTAAATCGGAGAATTTTATCTGTGAATTTTCACTACTCACTTCAAAAGGATAGGCAACTGATACGAGACTCAATACACCACCCCAGAGGGCCACTAATCTTAAGTTAGCCCAAACAGGTGTGGGGTGGGTGTCTCACATACCACCATCAGACCATAGCCCGATACCATGTTATCTAACTCACTTAAAAAAAGGAATCTTAGCAGGAAGGATCTCTCTCTCTCTCTCTCTCTCACACACACACACACACACACTAGACTCAAATCCGACTCCAGATGTGGGATAATCAATAGTCGATAACCGCTCTAATAAGAAGTGAATGTAAGGATGTGATTAAGTGAGTGTATTTGTTTTTCCCAGTAAAATCCGTAATGTGCTATAAGTTGTGATTAAGGAGACAAATTATGATATGTATGTATTAGTAATTATTGGTATTAAATTGAGTTCTGTTGCTCAACCTGGGTCAGGAAAAGAGATGCGATGGGTCAAAGTGTTGGATGTCATGGGGAAAGATTGGAAATCCAGTGCTTGTTAAATACTTCACCGATAAAAGACTGAACGAGAAAGTTGTAGGAAATATCCAACTGTATTGATGATTTAGTTTTTTAAAGCCAAAGGTTGTGTGCATAGGGCAAGTCTGGTTTTAACGTCAAACAGTCGAAGTAAATAATGTCTGTGTTATAAGTTTTTTATTATCTGACTGCCAGGCTGATCTGTAGCATTTAACACACACTTGCTTAATATAAATATACACGACGGAGTAATTTTTGTTTCATTTTGTAATCTGATGGACTAATGTGTATATTCTTTTGTAGCATGTACAATAATAGTTGAATCTCTTGTGAACTGGACTAATGTGAAAACTTGTAATTTATCTTTTAAAAATAAAATAAAATAAATTCAAATTTAGAAATAAATTCTGAAAATTTTAAAATGTACAAACAAATAGAAATTTAAAACTAAAAAACAAAACTGAAAAAAATCGAATTAGTCAAAAATATATGGTACGATTTTGTAATGCGGTTTTTTAAAACAATTTATATAATTCATATAAAAAAAATTTAAAAAACGAATTTGTGATGAAATATAAAATTAAAAGAAAATATAAAATATAAAAAATGTAATTATTAGAAAAATTTATTGAAATTCAAAAACTGTAAAATGAAAAAAAAACTAAATGGTACTAAGAAAAATTTAGGAAAACTAAAAAAAGGTGTAGACAAAATTTATAATAATAGTTATAGAAGTTTATTGTTATTTTTTTAGACTAATTTTTTTATTGTTACTTTTTTGTTGCCCCATTGTTTCATTTTGTTGATAACTCTGATTTGTTTTTTATTGTTTTTTATTGTTTCTTTATGTTCTATGTATTTGTTGACATTTAAAAAGTCCAATTTATCAATTTTGTTGATACACACTATACTATGTATGTAGTCTATATTTCAAAGATGTAACAACTATAAATAGAAATGTAAATAAACAACAAACATCAGAATTTTCAACAAGAAACATAATACAACAAAAAACAACAAGATGAAACAAAAAGCAACACATATGGTACAACAAAAAGAAACAAAATATAATTTGAGAAGTAATCTTGGCCATTAAAATGAAAAAATGAGTGGATCTGATCATTTTTAAAGGAAAAATTCAGTGTCAAAAGTGATAAATATGCATGACTACGAAGGAAAAGTGCATTAGACTGACAAAAAAGTGCATCACTTTTTGGGAAAAACATAAAAAGTATAGAAATAGTTTGTGATATTTTTTTTGAAGGTGAATGTGCATCCTTACATACCGCATATGCACTTTTACTATTATGTATCACATTTTGGTTTATCGTGAGTTTTGATCTCTACCATCCATTTTTAAGTAATCAAGGGCTTAGATCAATTATCACTTTTCATGAGAAAACCTGTTTGTATTAGAACTCACCCCTATATATATGTATAGCTATTACATGGGGAGGGTTCTAGTGAGAACCACTCTTAGAATGAGAACCCTTTTTAAAATGAGAACTTCTGATCTCCATCATTTTATTTTACAATCAATGGCAAATAATGACAATGTGACATTTTTGTAATTATTCAGGATTAATTACAAAAAAGCCTCATTGGAATTTAGGGTAATTATGAATGTGACACCATGTGAATCTTAATCAATGATTAGGGGTGGGATAGGTCCGGTCTGGGTCGGTTTTTGCTAAACCCGGAAATTACCCGGACGGTTTCGGGTTATGATAATTAGGGACCGAAACAAAGCCCATTGTATTCGGTCTGAGTCGGGTTTTTGGTAGCTCGGGTTCGGGTTGGGCCGGTTAAAGCCCGAACGTGAAATATCTCATTGTTCTTTTATATTTTAACACCTATTTTCAAATAAAATTAATCAAAAGTACAAACCGCAAATAATAACACAAATATTAGTCTCCAATATCACCAACCATTCAAATCCAAAGAAGATAATTATCTTAATATTTTATTTCAGATGCATATGAATAAATAATATAGGTTTCTTAAGAATATTACGAAATAAAATTTATAGATAAAAATGTGACTAGAGTTACTATAAATATATTTTCATGGTCTTTACGCTAAACAAAATGAACATAATTGTAATCACTAAAAGTTACTAAATCATTTTTTTATCCACCGTGATTATAATCATATATTAGGAAATATCTATAAATTTATATTCATATATTATATTAATTTTATATTAAAACTAATTGTTTCGGGTTTTTATCGGTCCGGGTCGGGTTATAGATTTTAAGGCTCGAAAATGAGCTCGGAATTTCGGGTTCGGTCCGGATTTTTTTAAATTCGGGCCGGTTAAAAAGAAAAAACCCGGACCGGGATCATAATTCGGGTCGGTCCAGGGTTGGTTTCCGGGTCTCGGTTTGGTTTTTCCCACCCCTATCAATGATTGCAATAAATGAAAGGTACAGATTAAAAGTTCTTATTTTAGGAGAGGTTCTCACTAGAACCCTCCCGCTATTGCGTATGACTATATGTTGATACATATTGTGTTAGCTTAAGGATGTGTTACTCCCTCCGTCCCACTAACAATGAGAGAAGATGGAGTGGCACACAAACTAATAAAAAGTGGTTTATGTGATTGATATCGAATTGATAAAGTAAGGATTAAGTAAAAATTATTTAGAGCCACACAAATTTTACCAATGGGAAATTATGACCACAACCACATATTTACTAAATACAACCACAATTATTTTTTCATTCCAATTATATCCTTCAAATAAATTAGCACTGTCCGTGGAATGACAATCTTGGAATTGTTCTTCCAAATGAACCTTAGATTTCAAAGGCTGCCTTTGCTGATTCCCACCTGGCATATGGAGAAGTATCAAGACTTTTTAGCACACTCACCCGCTTCTGACATTACACACAAGGCCGATGATTTGAGATGCAAATTAGCCTTGGGATCCGCAAAGGTAAGTTTTCTTTGTTATTTTGCAGACTAGGATGAGTTGAACAGGATGACCCCAAAGCGATTTTTCTACGAGAAAAACCAAGTGTTTTGTGTTTCATTGGGGTGAGCTGGTTTAAGTTTCTGGAGCAGTAGTGATGAATGGTGGTTCCAGACTTCCAGGCTGTGGAAGATCAGATATTGTATGGAATTGTGTGATGTTCTTTAGTTTCAAATCATGATGTGCTATGACTGCTTCCGCTTCTTCCCCTGCCTAATTCAGCTTCAATCTGATTGACAGAGTGAAAAGGCTAACTTAGGTACGGGGATGCTTTTTCGTAGAGGATCGACATAAGTGCAAGGGATTTCAAGGTTACGTCAATAGGTGCAAGGGTAACTTAGGCTTTTTATAATTTAGTGATTGTCAATAGAATTTGGTAGGACACAATCTTAGTAAAATAGACCGAAAAGATAAAATGAGACAATCTTAGCGGGACGAAGACAATACGGAGTACTACCTCCGTCCCACTAAGATTGGGACGGAAGAAGGTGACACGATTATTAAGAAAAGTGGGTTTGTGTGGTTGATATTAAATTGATAAAGTAAGAATAAAGTAAGAATGATTTAGAGCCACACAATCTTTACCAAATTTGGTATGGGACAATCTTAGTGGGACTTCCCGAAAAGGTAAAATGGGACAATCTTAGCGGAACGGAGGGAGTATTAATTACTAACTACATTGTCAGGCAATTACTACATACATTTGCTCCATTAACACATCCATACACCCACACTCACACAAGCTGTAATTCCATTAAAACCTCTCCGTATGACTTAGCTAGCTAGACTGTTTCTCACAGTTAAGTCATTTTTCATTCCCCATATTGTAGTTGCTCTAAAACCCGAAACACAAATACTCTCTAACACAATAACATCAATGCATTCAATCAAACTCATAGACAAACACTTTCAAACATAAATTCATCAACACTAAACTGACTGAGGTATGAAGAACAAGATGAAGGTTACAAGTTACGACTTACACACCTCTTGGCTATCCAAGTTATGACATTGATCCATTCATATTACATACAGCCATATACATGCATAATATATGTGCTTGCATGTGTATTATGTGACTACTCGCAAGCTACTATCCATAATGAAGTAGAATGCATGACCTTCATCCTGGACCCCAACAAGGAAGTATATTAAATCGAAAGGCATTTCCCAGTTGTTAGAAGACTTCCATTGATTCACTTGCTTGAACCGGTTTATTAGTGTTTGAAATTCACCCAAAAAATGTACTCCGTACTTAAGAATCAAATTGAACTATTATATCAAATGTCATCCTTCTGGGCTTGAACACTTCTAGACATACATACTTTGACCCCAGCCAAGGAGCACCCTCTTCAAGTTTCTCATTGCGATTGCACTACCATCATCTCTGTAGAGACAGAAAAGCATTGTTACTATGTCCATTGGGTTTTAAATCAAGAAATAAAGGAGCCCAGTAAATAGAAGGTGTGACAGTTGGCATACAACAGAGAACATGATTCATGAAGGCATAAATGGAAGCACTTTAAAACTCTAATTGCTAAAATTGTGAAGAGCAACAAAGAACCCAAACACTGTAGGAGGAAAGAAGATTTGGAGCTGGAAATTTAAGTGAAAGTAAATAGGGAAGATAAAGGGGAAAATTTAGAAGGAAAGAAGATTTGGAGGAAAATAGAAATTTGGTCCAAATTCCAAAAATCAATTTTAGATATTTGTTCAAACTCATTTTATTTATATATCTGTGGTGCACAAAGAATAAGAACTCTAAAATTAAAAAATGTATGTACAGTTTTCAAAAGTTCTCATCAAATTTGATTTACCCTTCCAGGGTACCACCAAACATGAAAAATATTATTTTCTTAACAATTTCCACTTTCCCTACCATTTCCTACATTCCATACATAACCTAAGAAGGGAGGGATATAAAAATAGAAATCAAACCTTTGCAAAATTTTCTGCCAGTCAGCTGTTCCATACTTGTCATCTTGTTTCTGTTGGTTCAACTCCATATAATTCTGGTAGGCCTTGGTCCCTCCCTTATCCCTAGAAACCATCTCCATCATACGCTCTTCAAGTTCATCAGATTCACGCTTATTCCCCACCCTACGTAAACCGTCAATAACTGGCATAAAGGATGCAGGATCAAACCCATAACCAAAAACCATCATCCTATTCAAAACATCACGACCCATTTCCACATTCTCTTCCTTGCACAGTCTGTCTATGAGATCTCTGTAAAAGAATCCACTCACATCAAAGCGTCTTTCTAACGAGGCTTCAAATAATGACTTAGCCTCCAAGATTTCTCCCCCAGCAAGCAGCTCGTTGAACATTATTCTATAAAGAGTTTCTTTGTGGCCATAGATACTTAGTGCAATTTCGAACACCTCGTGGGCTGGTCTGAACTCTCCAACCCCACAGAACGCTTTGAGCAACAGCTCAAAGGTATGTGTATTAGGCAGCGTCTTTTTTCGCAACATTTCTTCCAGAAGGTGGGTCGCTTCTTCGGTTCTCCCTTCTTCACATAGACACTTGATCATGATATTGTAGGTGTGAACGTTTGGGAAAATCCCATTCTCTCTCATTTCATCCATCAGCCCAGACATTTCGAATATTTGATTTTTGGACCCCAATGCAAAGATGAGAGAGTTGTAAGTTTGCAAAGTCCTCTCACACCCTTTTTTCTCCATGTCCTTCACGACCTGAAATGCAGATGCAATTTTACCCCTTTTACATAAATGATGCAATATTGAATTATAAACAATTGAATCAGGAAACAGTTTCCTCTCCATCATCTCAACAAATATTTTCTTGGCATCACCTAATCTCCCATCCTTGCATAAAGAATTGATAACGGTTGAATAAGTGATCAAGTCAGGAAAACACTTCTTTTCAAGATCAAGAAAAGAATTCCCCAAATTGCCCAGAAGAGCAACAGAAGCGCTTCCATGAGTCCACATTTTCTCAACAATTTCAACCGCTTTGTCCACCTTCCCAATCCTACACATACCACCAATCACGATATTGCAACTTGAAGTATCGAAAGGGTAACCCCTTTCCTCCATCTTCTGTAACAACCTATCTGCTTCTGATACCTTTCCTTCTTTCCACAAACTATACAGCAAGATGTTACATGTCCGGGTATTAGGAATACACCCACTGTTTTTCATATCACTCAAAATTTTGTTTGCCTCTCTGACCTTACCTTTTAAACAATGGGCATGGAGGAGAGTAGTGTAAGTGACCGTGTCGGGATAGACCCCATTCGATTTTAATAAGCTCATCAATGATCTAGCATCGGCAAGCATTCCATTCTTGCAGAGACCATCTATCAGGGTGTTATACGTATAGATATTCGGTTCTACTCCATTTTTCACCATATCAGTCAAAAGAGATTGGGCCTCAAACAGCTTTGAGTTCCTCACCAGTCCAACAAGCAAAATATTGTAACTATTCACATCGGAGAAAATCCTGCGCTTCTTCATTGTCTCAACCAAGGACTTTGCTTCCTCTATCATTCTTTGCTTGCAAAACCCTTCCAACATCACATTAAAGGTTATATTATTAGGCTTTGGCAAACCATACCCATCATCACCATCTACTTCCATGTCCCTGAAAATCCTTGAAGCTTCGCGAACCTTCCTAGAGTCACAGAGAGCTGAAATCCTAGAGTTGAAGGTAACAACATCCGGAGAAAGCCCATCCTCCTCTCTCATCCTCTGCACAAGTCGCTCAGCTTGATGCGCTTTGCCTTCCTTACAGAAGGTTGCAATCAAAGTGTTGTATATCACGATATTAGGACAAAGGCCCATCTTCTTCATCAAGTCCAAAAGTTCCAAAGCTATAAGAGCATGCCCGGATGAGCAATAAGCTCGGATCAAAATGCCAAAAGTATACTGATTAGGCGCACATCCTTTTTCAGGCATTTTGTCGAACAGCTTGCGGGCATCCTGTAAGCAGCCGGAGTCACAGAGAGCGGAGATGAGGAGGTTTAAAGTGTAAGTCTGGGGTGAAACCCCGGCAAAAACCAAATCCCTGTACAGGCAAGACGCGGAGGTAATGTGACCGTTTCGACGAAGAGAAGTTTGAATGAGGAGATTGTAAAGAGAAATGGGCGGAGGTCGATCGGGGAAGAGGGAGCGGAGCGGGTGTAAGAGAGAAACGGCGCGATCGAAGTGGCCAGAGGTGGCAAGGATCTTGACGAGGGTGAAGAGAGCGGGAAGCGAGGCGTGGGATAGGAGGAAGCGGTGGAGGGCGTGGAGTTGGGAGAACATATTGGCGCGAATGAGGATGCGGGTGATGGGAGGGATGGATGGATGGGGCGGCGGCGATGAATTGGGAGCAGAGAGCACCGCGCGCTTGAAGATGAGCCATGCTAGCTTCGGATTGTTTGTGTTCCTGATGAGAGCCTGAGTCAGTGTCTTCCCTTCCATAAATCATCTCTATTTCCTGTCACCATTCATTCACGAAGCAGCCACTCAATTCAACTAACTAGCTACACACCACATAGCTACATGCAAGGCGGAGCCATTGGCCTCGAAACTCAACCTATATACAATATACAAAAAAAAAAATGTTAGATAATTTTTAAACAATGTCCAATTTGAATATTTGATATGCAGTTCAGATAAATAGACACTTGTAGTAATAAGATAGATTGTCTTTGATCTGTTGCGGAGTCGTGTCACGTAAATATTAAATGAATTATACTCTATTTTTAAAATTTGGGAAAATAATCTATAGTATGCATCAAATTTTTCTAATTTTACGTTTAGATAGTTCTAATTTTGCAAAAATCATAACTTTTTTACTCGTAATGAGTTACGGGGGCCATGATATATCAAATCAAAGATATTTCAATGCTCTATACTCTTAAACTTTCAGCGGGATCGACTGACCACCCTGACCCCCCCTTGGCTCCGCCCCTGGCTACATGACATAGATAAATGACATTTGCAGTGCCAAGATATTCACTTTAGGCAAATGACATTGGATTATCACTAGAGAAAAATCAATGTTGCTGTTAGTATAAGTATGCACAAGTTCTACATAGTATATATATAGAGGGAATATATCTGGTCAGGCGTGCCTCATCAGACATGCCGTGTGGACTTGCTCGTTTGAGACTTTTTTCGATAAATTTTTTTATGAATTTTTTTGAGAACATTCTCTATCAAGTTTAGTGTATGTATATCAAAATTCAGGTCAAAGTTCTATTGGGAAGACAGTTAAATAAATTGTTAAAACATACTACGCTTTATATATGTACATAATGCACAATATGTTTCAAGAATTTTGAGCTTAAATTTGGTATGCATAAACTAGACTTGACGAAAAATATGGTCAAAAAAATTTATCAAAACATTTCACTCGAAAGACCTCAAACGGGCAAATCCGCAAAGCAAATAGCCCCTCCCCCCCCCACTATAGCTAAAACGGCGATTAGGCCCTTGTACTTGAAAATCACCAATTGAACACCTGAACTTTTAAATACCGATCAATTGAACGTTTTAGCAAGTAGCTTCAGATTTCCAAGGAGTTAGCCAAGCTATCATAGCTCGATTCGCCAATTCAAAGGACTCCAAAAAGAACTTCTCTCAACTCTTGGGAGTCAAGCAAAAGGTGGACTTCAAAGCTATTGTTATATACACGATTGTTTATATAAGTGCACTCAGTGGTGTACTCACATTGATTATTTCACGCATATTATAAAACAATGATCACATTAAGAAAAAATAGTGTAAAATCAATTATAAATAAAATAAATTGTGGGCAAAAATAGGGACAAAAATATTACAATAACATGATTTAAAATTTCATGGTAGATAAAAGGGAGATTTGCAATTTTAGTCATATAACTTTCGGTTGTTATATGCATTGGTCCTGTAACTTTAGTCACTTGTAAATTTGGTTCTGTAACTAATAAATCTTTTGCAATTTAAGGATCTTTCCACTAGAAAGTACACTTTCCGGCAAAAAAATCCGTCGCTGGCGCCATCTTTTGTGGTATACTATCGCCGGAAAGTGTACTTTTTAGGGAAAAAGTCCTTCAAACACAAATATTAATTAGTTACATGACTAAATTTGCAAGTAACTGAAATTACGGGACTAATAATGAAAACTGTCGAAGCTACAGAACGAGATCGAGAATTGCAAATAACCCTAGATAAAATTTAGCTTTGCTAAAAATTAATTTTGATCACACAGTTATAATTTATTCAAAATTATGTTAACAATAAAAATCAAATAAGGAATCAAATATGTATTTAGAATTAATTTAATGTACATAATATATACGCAGTACTGATTTTTAATATACTTGTGAATTCGAAATTTAATTAAATTAATTCTAAACACATATTTGAATGATTGAAGTTCAACCATTTTTTCCAATGAGAACCTCTCTAGGATCAATTAATTACGCTAAATGAATGATTGAAGTCAACCATTTTGTGAAGAAGAAAAATTCACTTGTGTAACTAAATGAAAAGACTTTGTTTTATTTTGAGATGCGAATCACTTTTGCTTGCAGATCGGCTTGTCATAGGGCCTCCTCATTTGAGGTTGAGGGTTGTCGTACGAATTCTTTATGTAATTCACGCCACCTCAAGGCGTTGGTGAAGATGGCCACAACTGCTTGTCGTCCACCTTTACAGACCCATTCCTCCAACGAATAAAAAAAGGCAGAGGGAGTACATTGTTATACTACGGAGTACTGATTTTGAAGTCAACCATTTTTTGAAAAACAAAAATTCACTTCTGTAACTAAATGGAAAGACTATTTTAATTCGAGAATGTGAATCACTTCTGCTTGCAGATCGTCTCATCATAGGGCCTCCTCATGTGAGGTCGAGGGTTGTCGTACAAATTCTTTATGCAATTCACTCGACATCAAGGCATTGGCGAAGATGGTCACAACTGCCTTGTCGTCCACCTTTACAGACGCTTTCCGCCAACGAACCAAAAAGGCGGTCAAGGTCTCCTGACGCCCCTGCTTGACTCCCAGGAGGTGACAGAAGTTCATTTTAGAGTCCTTTGAACTCGTGAATCGAGCTATGAAAGCTTGGCTAACTCCAATAAATTATGTATCCTGCCATTGACCGGGCTAAACTTGCAAGTGTACAAGTGCTGATATAGTAATAAATTCCGGTAAAATACCGGGTCGAATCCACAGGAAAACGTTGTTTAATTTAGTCCGAGAGTAGATGACTTTAAATAAATAAATGAGTAAAGTGCAGGGATTTTGAGTTGTGTGTTGTTGTGAAAACAACAACTTGATTCTTCTTTTTAATTTTCAGAGATATAACTTAAATTAATTTGATTAAAGTGATTGATAACAACAACAAAGGCTTCGGGAATCACTTAAATGCTTTAATAGGGTTGAATATTAGTTCTTTACCAAAAATTATGAATACGATGTCACTAATATATTCTCAACTCCGGTTAAGGCAGCGAGAGCGTGGTTTTCGTTACGTGTAAATCCCGTTACGGCTTACATTCATCTACCGAAAACCCCGTTGAATATCAAGACATCACACCCGTATCATATAATACCGGATATATTTCTATTCTCAGTAATATATTTGTTTATCCTTTAATGTTCATAGTTTAGACCTCAACGTTAATTGCAAGGATAAACTAAGTTTAACATACTTCTATGTTGTACACCATAGTCATAAACAATCAAAATGTAAAGGATAAATCACAATTTATTGGTTTAGAACTTTTATCAAACACCTAGTGGGCATAGAAGTTCATCCCTAGCCTTAGCTAAGAACTTAGCCTTTAATGCTCATATTAATTACAAAAGTGTAACTAAGATAAAGGAAATACAATAACATACAAGAAATAATACTTAGAACCAATTGTAGAGGAGAGAAATAGCTTCTTCTCCAACACTTCAAGAGAATGCAAAAGTAAAATATAAAAAGTGATTTTTTTGCTCCAAAGATGGAATGATGATCTTGTTTGATGAATTGGGGGCTTTATATAGGCTAAAGATTGGCATCTTTTAGTCTATTCAAGCCCAGCAATTAGGCATGGGAGAGATATTTGATCAGATCATGAAGAAGGTGAAGTTTTCCCATCAAAATATTGCTGCACGTCTTTGTGTTTTATGCAGAATCGGACCTAACCGGCGCCGGTTTCAGACCTGACCGGCGCCGGTTCTTCACTGGGTGCAGGGAAATCTGAAAAAAAGACCTAACCGGCGCCGGTTATAAGGGCAACCCGGCGCCGGTTAAGCTACTGGTTTGCCACTTATGTGCGAAAACATCAGACCGGCGCCGGTTTTGTCCTGGGATTTTGGGGATGTTCCGCTATGAATTTGGACATGATTCCTTCACCAAAGTTATAGATAATGAAGTGATGGTCCCTGATAGAGGTAATAGTCTAGAGGGGGGGGGGTGAATAGACTTTTAAATCTTTTTGCAACTTTAAAAACTTTCCCTTCTAGATGAGTTGATCTATAATCTTTTGGGAGATTAATAGATGCACAGCGAAAGTCTTTAACATATTGATTATTATTGTGTGACAGCTTTCTAGCTTGAATGATGTTTGGACTTTGAACAATGAGCAGTTGGCTTGGCAGTTGCCTGGATGGCAGGGAACTGCTGAGGCAACTGCTAGTGGAAAATGGGAGTTTGGAATAGATGATTATATGGCCTTGTACAGAATGATGAGGGCTTACTGAATGTGTGCTGAGGTGGAGAAAATAAGATGTTTTGCCTAAGCAGAAATCTGAGCAGTTGGGTGGACCCAGGAATCTGCTAAGCGGTCTGCTGCTTATGAAAGCAGTATTTATGAGAACTGGCAAACCAGACCTTTAGTAGTGATATTCCAAAGCTCGTGTGAGATAGTTGTCTCAAGGAAAAGTGAGTTATTAAGCAGTAGGATAAGCAGTGGAGTCAAATAAGACTACTGCTTAGGATGCTGCTGGCAAACTATGATCCCTTTAGTGAGAAGTGTTGGGTGTGTGCTCTGTTGAGTGAAAGTAAATCAACACATGATATATCCTGGTTCAGAGGTGGTGTAATCCTCCTACGTCCAGTCCCACCCTATTTCAGATGGATTTCCACTAAAGTATTAATCCCAATACACTTAGTGCCAATCTAGCTTTTACAACACTTAGGCTTAGATTGAAGGTTTTTCACAATGAGTATAACACCACTCAAAGTTACTCAGTCCTTAGACTTTTCTCAATTGATCCAGTGGGGATCAAAAGGTACTCTATCTATCTAACCACACTTTAGGATCCGAACAACTGTTCTCCTAAGTGTTTACAACAGTTTGATACAAGAAAGTTCTAATCTCCAACTAAGAACTAAGCTCTAAAATATGAAAGTGTTGAACTAATCTAAGAGCTTAGTGAAGCATGAGTCTAAGCAGAGAGTAAAGTTGAGTTTGCACTTTCTCTTTTGCTAGATAGCTTGTATATGCTTTAATGGAAGTATTTCTCTACTTAGGATGCTCAAGCTTAATTCGAACTTATGCTTCTACCTATATTTATAGGCCTCCATA